GTTATATTTATTTTGTTTCATAAATAATAAAAATGTGTTAAATAATTTAAATAAAATACTTAATTTAATTACTAAAAATATTTTATGAATTATCTAATTGATTAATATACGAGGAAAGCCATTTTTTTTTGTTCATATTATATGTAATGTTTATTTAAAATCATAAATAACATATATTTTTCTAAAATTTGTTTTAACAAATCCAAATAATCTATGCTTCTATACTATATATAAAACATTTGACAAAAACTCTTAAAAACCGTTTTTTATGCATGAAGTACTGCTTATTGATGTATATTACTTAAAATTCAAGATTACAAGTAATTTTACGTAAGTACAACTTATTTAAGCTTTCTTTTTAAATTTGTGTAACTAACTACAAATAAACATAATCAAATTTAGAATAAACATTATCTTTATAAAACATAAATTATTAAACCAAAAATAAATTACTTTGTTAATAAATCTAAATTAAATTATAATAAAAATTTGAATTAAAGAAGTTATACAAAAAAAAAAAAAACTAACTATTAAATAGTTAATTTGATACTAATATCGATATTTTTTTTTTCAAATTTATATTTCATTCAAAAATTTAAAACATTACCACTTTATCAAAATCACATAAAATCGTATTATATCGATAGAGACAAATAATAAAAACTAAACATTAAAATGAAGATTTATCTCGCTGCATTATACGAGTACCATTGTAGTATTATATATATATATATATATATATATATATAATCAATTTGAAATTCTTTTGATCAATATATTATATTTTTAATTTTTTACCATCTTCTTTGTATTAGTTAATATATATATTATTAGAAATCTATTTCAATTATATTTTAAAATATTATAATTGATTAATTTTTCAATATGCCATTTTTGGTTATTTTATATTATTATCCGTTAATTTCTACCAAACAAGATTTGTTCATCAGTTAACTTATTAGCTACTAACTAGCTTATAACGTAGTAGCTAACACATTATTTGACAAAAATAAGCTAGTTTATTTTCTGAGTACATTTTGGATGCATATAAGTTAACTTATTTTCTAGGTACATGTTTAGATGCACATAAGTTAGCTTATTGAAACATTATTTGGAGTAGCGTTTTGAAAACTTATTATAATTTTTTTCCGTTATAACCTTGTTATTACAAATTACTATTAGTCATAAATAAATTTTAATAAAACTTAAATATTACTAATATTAATTAGTAATAAGTATTAATTGTCAATAAATATTAA